TGCTGTGGTTTGCTTATTTGGACCCTCTACTCAAGGCTTGTGTAGAAACTTTCCTGACATCCTCACAAACCACAAATCTCAGGTGGTTTTCTGGTACGATGCAAGGAATGTCTATTTCTGCTCTTCCTTCTCCAAAAGACAACTGCGGGGTGCTTTGAAGTTTGCCTTTCTCAGAGAGAGCTCCTGGAACAGTTCCCACACCTGGGACTGCTGTATGAACAGGACAGGATGTGACACCTTCAGTTTTCATTCCCCAGAGTCTTCTTCAAGTGTGTTCTGATGTAATGACCATCACCAGAAGTGTCTTGGCAAGCACACGTAAACCTCTGTACCATGTTATTATATGTGGTCAAGCATCTGAGAATTGGCTGGACTTCACACTGTATGAGAAAATAGAGGATCCGTCCATCCTATCTGTAATTGATGGTCACAAAGTCTTTCTCCTTGACCACTTGAATCAGGCTCCTCCGAGCCCTCTGCTCGACTAGACCCGACCTTGGGCATCCCTCTCTGTCCTCGTGGAGGCCAGTTTGAGCAAAAATCCCGCCAAGTCAGTTCAGTGAAAACCCTCCATCCTTGGTGCGTGACCACCCCCAACATCTTATCTGCCTCCAGCAAGAGTTCTGTTGAGCTGATGTAGCCAGAATCCCTCTACCCCTGTGTTTCCTTGTAGTAATTTCCCACCACTGCCCCCCACCCTGCTTCTTGGCTACCAATCCCCACTTGTTTTTGTTGTATTTGGAGTAGAGCCCGATGCTCTTCCCACTGCAAGACTCCATTGCAGCAGTCTCTATACCTGTCGAATGGTTCCACCTTGAAGAAAGTCTGATGTACATCTTTAATAAGTGTCATAAATTTATTTTTAACAATGGATGTTTATAAGGTTGACATTACTTAGTTTTCGTTCTTAATTTTTTATCATTATTTTCAAGCAGTAAATGTCAGTTCCTTTTACAGCTTCTTACATCATTTATCCTATTTTTATTCACTCAACATGCATTTATTAAATAATTTTTACAGGCTAGGCATAACAAGATCAAAAGATATGGTCCCTGTCTTACACTGGCTCACAGCTTGGTGTGGACAGCAGCATGGCACAGTAGTTAAGAGAAGGAGTCTTGGAGTCAAATTGCAGAGGTTCAAATACAAGCTCTCCTATTTACTGTCTGCATGACTTTGGACAAGTAGCTTCGACTCTCTGAAGCCTCAATTTCCACATCTGAATAATGGGCATAATAATAGCTATTGTGAGGTATATACATATTCAGTCCTTCTTTTGCATGGCAGTATGAGGCCATATAAATGGCCATGCAAGCTGAAACCATACAAAGCTATCTTGATAATCAGTGGGAAAAATTAGTTGTTCTGTGACCTTTAAAAATTTTTGCCAAAATATTAAAAATTCTATCAGTTATAACTATACAGGGAAATGAAAAATTATGAAATAATCATTTATTGGTATAACATAACTTGAAACATTAGAAACACTGAGAATTAAGGAGGCGTTTTTTTTTGTTTGTAAGAAACTTCAAGAATGGTTGGAACAGTACTTGCCTGCTTCTTCTAGAAGTATAACACGATATGAGTGAGCATCTCTTTTATGCCTTGGTTAATTGCCATTCAGTTTCTAGGTTTAGACCAGCTTCCAACATTTCATCCATTGTGCTTTCAATGTCATGAAATATCTCCAAGAATTCCATTGAGGTGAAATTTTTTTGCTAGCATTACTTCCTCGGAGATATCTTCATCCTTTTTGTCACAACCACTTTCTCCTCTTATGTCAATAAATTCACCTTCACTAAGTTCCTTGGGCTGCATACCTAGGGCTTCTTAAATGACTCTAGTGTCCATATCTACTTGGTCAACTATTTCCTCTATAATTCCATCTACATTTGATTCAAATCCTGCAAAATTACTTTCCAGTGCAGTGAAAGTTTCTGCCATCCTGCATGCATATTATTTGCTGTCACTTTCTGCCATGATGCTTAAATGCTTTTAGTTGCAGGTTTCATGTCATATTTCTTCCAAAGCCCAGCTAAAGAAATTGCATGATCTCCTATTGTGGCATCAATAATCTGTCTGAAAGTA